GTACTTAGACAAAATTAGTTGCCTTGCTAAGAACACAACTATACAACATAACACTCTAATAGCAACAACTAAACTACAGCTAAGGAGTAGACTAGCAGTGCTAGCAGAAATTAACAAGTATGAACATAAAATTAAATTACTGCTGTTTGCTGTGGTCACCACGCAACCTAACATTGTATTTGCCACATTAAGGCTTGCTAGGTTCCTTACTAATCTAGGCATCAGCCACTAAGATGCTGCGGACCAGGTCCTTCTATATCTACTTAACACTAAACAGCAATTACTGCAGCTTAGAGGAGGCATTAGCCTCTAGGTAGCAAGTCACGCGTCCTTTGCTAACAACACTATAGACAGAAAGAGCTCCTAAGGCTACACAATTAAACTCTTTAGCAGCTGTATTATATAGAAAGCAAATAAGTAGGACATAGTAATAATATTAATAACTAAGGCTAAGCTTCTTCCTCTTACCTAGGTTATAAAAGAAGTACTCTTTATCTTAAGGCTTTTATACAAACTATATATTAATATAGGCATAACGTGTTTCCCATGCGAGCGGGCACCCCAAGCGAGTCGGCAGCTCTTCCCCACCAACACGCCTGCGCGGCGACAACGCGTAATGTCTCAACAACGCAACGTCCAAAAGTCCTATAACAAAGGAAATGTATTCCTTGCTATCTCTGATATAAAATTAAAGCGAATACAGAGCAAGAAACGCGCTGCAGAGATCTATAACGTCCCTTGAACAACTATCTAAGCGTGACGCGCTGGACGACGCGCCTGAAGCGATTGCAAGCTGAACTCAAAGCGCCTTACAAAGCTAGAAAAGGAGGTGGTTCTACACAATATACTTGACGCGTCTCTACGCGGACTACCACCAACGAAGGCTCTTGTGCGAGATATGGCTGATAGACTGCTAAGAGAGCGGGATGGGAAGCCTGTTGGCAAGCACTGGGTAGACAACTTCATTAAGCGTACACCTGAGCTTAAGAAGCGCTGGAGCCGGCCGTATGATCGCCAGCGTGCTGCCTGCGAGGACCCAGCGCTAATCCGGCCCTGGTTCGAGCTTGTTCAATTAATGAAGGCAAAGTATAGCATCCTTAATAAGGATACCTAGAACTTTGATAAGACTAGCTTCCTAATAGGCAAGATCACGTCTCAGCTCGTAGTAACAGGCTTGGATAAGCCTAGGAAAGCAAAGAAGCTACAGCCTAGCGATTGCAAGTGGACTACCCTGGTACAAGCTGTCGGCGCGACAGGGAAGCGCATCCCACCCTTCATTATCTTTGCTGGCAAGGTGCTCATCTCCACCTGGTTTGAGCTAGGTATACCACGCGACTGGATCATCCAAGTAAGCCCAAACAGCTAGACAAACAACAAGCTAGCGCTTGCCTGGCTTAAACACTTCGATACGCATGCGAAGCCCGTAGGAGCGTGGAGACTGCTGATTATCGACGGCCACGAGAGCCACTGCTTAGCTGATTTCCAAGAATACTGCAAGGAGAATAAGATAATTGCCCTCTGCATGCCCCCTCACTCATCGCATCTACTGCAGCCTCTTGACGTCGCCTGCTTCTCGCCGTTGAAGCGCAGCTACAGCAATAGCATCTCAGCCTTGGCGCGCAACCACATCCACCATATCAGCAAGGAAACCTTCCTACCAGCCTTTAAAGCTGCATACGAGCAGACATTTACAAAGGAGAACGCTTAGGCAGGTTTTAGAGGTGCTGGGCTAGTTCTACTAAACCTAGAGGCAGTGTTGTTAAAGCTTAATGTGAGGTTGCGCACGCCGACTCCACCACAGCGCGACGACGCTGCGTGGGAAGCGAAGACGCCGCGCAACGCTAAAGAGGTAGAGGCTCAAACTACGCTTATTTAACAGAGGATGCAAAGACGCTCAGGTTCTACTGCAAGCTCCCTTGACGAGCAGGTACAACAGCTGAGTAAAGGCGCTTAGCAGATTGCGCATAATATGGTGTTGCTACAGGAGGAACAGGCGCGCATGCGAAGCGCAATTGAAGAGCTTACAAAGCGCAAGGGCTGTAAAAGGCGGTATGTATAGGTAGAGGAGACCTTAACAGTTAGTAAGGTATCTAACTTAATTGCTAAAAGAGAGGGTGGCAGTTGTGATAATAGCGAAACGCCTGCGAAGAGGGTGCGTGCAGAGAGGCACTGTGGTTGTTGTGGTGAGACTAGGCATAACTCCCGCACCTGCAAGGTAGAGATAAAGGATGCAGATGATAGCGAAGAATCTGAAGTATAATCTACTATCGCGTATAAAAGAAAATATTGTTGTAGCGTTGCGTAGTGTCGCCGCGCAGGCGTATTGGTGGGGAAGAGCTGCCGACTCGCTTGGGGTGCCCGCTCGCATGGGAAACACGTTATACACTAACATGTTTTACAAGCGAGCGGGCCATACAAGCGAGCGGGCCACCCTACCAACTTTGCGCACCTCTACAAGCGTATATCTCAACAACGTG